TATATGTATCATAAATTCAATAAGTAAATTACAAGTCTCTTCATTTAACAGTTCATGCCATTTATCTTAAGGCTGTACAGATATTCCAATTTGCTATGCCATCAGTAAGCGCGTCGGAAAATGCTTCACGCATTATAAAACAATAAAGCGATGTTGCTAATGAGAAGAGTTTTTATATTTAACGGCTCAAGTCTCAATGGCAATGAAACGAATTGCTTACATGTATACAGATTGACGAACGGGTGGACTGTTAGCTGCACATAACACAAAACCTATATACTCTATTCTCTGTTCGAATGAGTATGAAAATACATAGCTGAAAATGAAATATAATTTTATTATTTTTTGAGAGAGAAGAAGCTTCATAGCGCCAACAGCCTTAAACTAACCTTTTTTTTTAGCCAAGCATATTTTGTATACTATTATTCAAAGAGTATTTGAGTATATATAAATTAATTTGCTTTATTCGCCTGCATTTTGTAGGTATTTTATTTTACTCTGCCACAATATAGAATTTCCACTCTGCAGCCAATGCTATATTGGATATGTGAAGAGTTAAGCCAGGTGAGCTGCAGTGCCAACTATTTGTGTGTGTCTAACCCTAATGCGATTATCAGCCGAGCTTGGCTAGGCTCTGTACATATGTAAATAGATTTATAAATTTATATACTCATCCCTCTGTATATATAGCAATCAAAGTCGATATAAGCTAATCAAATTATCAAATTATGTGTACAGGCTGCAATTATATGAATTGCAATTAAATGAATAATTAACTAGCGACTGCAACATTTCCGCTCGCTCTCAGTTAACATTGAATGATAGCTGCTTATCAGCTGCAAGTTAACAACCAAAGCACCTCCAACAGCTACAGCAACAACAACAACAACAACGGCAGCTACAGTTAAAAACAATGCCAACGTCTGCACTCAGCCATTGCGTGCTGCACATAACATAAACAAAAGGCAATAAAAAGAGAAAAAACTGTACTAAAAATTATTACAAGCACTAAAAATAATAGTACCAAAATATATATATGAAATATCTATATCTAGTTATATACTTGGCAGCAACACACAGAATTGAATAACAAGACTTGCAGCTCTAACTCCGACTCAAAACTCTATCGACCGCCAACTGCAACAGTCGCAAAGTTGGTTAGTTAGTTAGTTAGTTAGTCGGTGTCCGTGTGTGTGTCTGTGTGTGTGTGCGCCCAATAGGGAGCAACGCTAAAACAAAGGCGGACAAAGCGAGTTCAATAAATCAAAGTTGAGTGTTTCGCATTTGTAGCAGAGTTGCAGGTGGTTGCTGGTTGCTGCTTGCGGGTTGCAAGTTGCCGTTGACAACGATTGCATTGTTGCACAAACGCCACGCCACGCCACGCCACGCCCATTCGCCCATTCGGCATGGCCTGTCGCCGCTATTTGCCCTACGTACTGGCCAGCGTGGCTGTCTTTCTGGCCACTGGTCTAATTATCTTTGGCATTTGCATGCAGCGCTCGTTCGAGTCGGACAACAAGCTGAAAATTGAAGAAAGCTCAGACTCGGCTCAGAATTTCGAGAGCCTCTTCGGTGACGATCTGGAGGCTGTGCTGTCCAACGAGGGGCCAGAGTTGGCAACGAGTGCGCAATTCTTGATAGGCACGACAACAACCACAACATCAACAACAACTGAGAGCTCAGCTTCCGGGTCGTCGCACGAGCCACACAGAATGGAAATGGAGCGTTCTACAACCACAACTGAGGTTTGTTTTCAATCATTTTTATATCTCTTGTTTTTTCTGGTTTTGCTTTTGTTAAGTTATAAAATATTTATGCAATTTGCTTTGTTGCAGTAGTTGTTGTTATTGTTGCTTTAGATGCAACTTTCTACACTGCAGTTAGCTGGCGATCTGCTGGACTGCAGTTATTTTGTATTTATATTTATATTTCGAGCGTAGCGTGAAAGCGCCCATGAGCTCATTGTTGCCATTGTTGTTGCTTTCGCTGTGTTGTTGCTGTTGCTGTTGCTGTTAATGTTGCTGCCTTTGTGCTTGCATAATATTTATGTTTTGTAAATGGCATCATTTGTGCACGCTTACGTCGAATCAACGATTTAATTTGTCAGTTGCATCTGCACAATAGACAACAAAAAATCAAGCAAGACTGTTGCAGTCGGATGTTAATAGTTATATAATAATCGTTCATCAATCATTCTAAGCTCTGCTGTTGGATCTGTAAATCGATTGGAGTTCTACCTCTAAAACTGTAGAAGATACAGATTTGCCTGATGGATAGAGAGATGGATAGAGATGGACCGATTAAGAGACAGAAGAAGGGACAGCCTTATAGACAGACGTACAGGTGAATGGACAGATAGACGAACAGACAGACGGAAGGACCGACAGATATATGGCTATATGAGCGGACGGAAGAATAGATGAAAGGAAATAACTCACAAGCAGACGATGGCGGATAGATGAACACACGGACGGACGAGCACGAACACGAACATTGCACAAAACCAATATACCCCTACCATTTGTCAATGAGTATAAAAATACAATTAAATGAGATGAGCCAGGCCTTCAGGGCATGTTAACTATGTGATATAGTTAGGAAATTCGTGTGCCTAATCGAATGACAATCTGTGAGAAAAAAAAAAAACTAATTTAAATTCTAATTTGCTTTAAATGTGGCTTTAAACTAATCCATGCAAATGCAGAGCTTCAGTTGATTTAATTCGCCTCTATCACAATATCTGCTATACAGTTATAAATATGATGGGTTTTATGGCCGCGCAGTCGATTTAAGCCAAAGCCACTGGAAAAGACTGTGGCTACGCCCACATTTGCATAACTGTATGGCGCAGATAAAGCTGCAGAGACTGTGGCAGACCCACGCACCTAGCGGGTCAAGTCTCTAGGCAGACCCAATGAAATCAAATTGGAGATAAAAGGGGGAAAAAAATAAATAAATAAGAAAACAAAAAATAATAGAAGAAATTAGCATAATATGGTTAGCTCATAAAAGGTGAACTTGAAACTAACTGGAGCTGTGCGTTTGGCCTAACTGTGTCATGATTCACTTTGAGATACAGATACATTTCAGCTGGGGACACACGCCGGCTAATGTGACAGCTGACAGACAGTTAGCCACACACACACACACACACGCACACATAAATGTATTACTGTATCTATGTATATGTGTATATATCTATATCTATGGCTAAGCGTTGGCTGCACGTGACTGCTGCCATTGTTGTTCGCACTTAACTGTTTCTCTGACTGCTGCCGCCTCTAAGAGCTCCGTTTGTTTGGTGTTATGCAAATGGCATTTCAATTAAACGAAATTTGCTTGGCCGCAAGGTTGCCCGTTAACATCATTAAAAGTGACAGAAAAGCAACACACCGCAAGACAGACAGACACACGCACATAGACACACTGAGGCACACACACTCACACTCTGTTGGGTACAGAAAAATTGTCAACATTAATGCAACAATCGCAGTGAACTTGAGAGTTGTGTTTGCACAAGGCGCAGTTGGTTGTCTCGCTTGTAAATTGCTATTAATCCGAGCTGTAATTGTGACCTTTGTCTTTGCAGGAGACGACGGCCTGGAAAACGCTGACCTCGCATCCGAATTCGCTGGTGCAGCTGCTGCCATCGCGCGCCATGCGTGTGGTGCAGGAGGTGGTGCGATCTCTGCGGGTAAGCACAGATGGCAACACGACCTTGGGGCGCACATAACAAATATTGCATCAACTCTAGCCCCAACATAATCATCAAGAATCAGCAGCAGCAGCAGCTGCAACTTGGCTGAGGTCAAGTCTAAGCTGATGCAGTTGCCCGTTGATAATTGCTGAAATAACTTCAAGAACAAAGAAAGAGCTAGTCGCTGCAGTTGCGGCTGCTGCTGCTGCTGCTGCCGCTGCTGCTTTAATACAAATTTGTTAATAACTGGCTTTTTGGCCATTAGGCGATTGCGCAATGTTTGCACCATGGCCTAGTTGTTGACGCCAGAGCTGTCCAAGTTTAATGCAAAATTCTTGCAGAACTCTTGTGCAAGAACGGCACACTTGCTAAGCATCTGGCAGATACTTGGCAGGCTGAGCGAGCTGCAGGTTTCTGAAAACATTTGATTTGCCATTCAAAATTGATTTTATCAAACAGCACATTCATGAGGCACGAGGAGAGGAGCAGAAGTTCCCACGCTTGAATGTATTAATCAAGATTTGTATCTAAACTCGTTTACCCATGCATTTGTAGAAGGAACGTGAAATCGTGGCCAGCACCACGTTGGGCAAGGTGCGCGGACGCTTTCAGAAGTACCGCTCGGGTGAGCGGGGGGGCTACTACAGCTTCAAGGGCATGCGATATGGTGCGCCACCCATAGGTGCCAGAAGGTGAGCCACATTACCTGAAGAATTGCCTCAACAAGTCAATAAAGGCTTTTTGTGACTTCCGTGCAGATTCCGCGCTGCGCTGCCCGAAAAGCCATGGAGCGGCGTGCGAGATGCCTCGCGGGAGGGCCAAAGCTGTCCGCACAAGAACATGATACTGGACACCTTCAAGGGCGACGAGGACTGTCTGTTTCTGAATGTGTTCACCACGCGCATGCCCAAGGAGGATGAGTAAGCAGCTAAGCATATGAGATTCACAGTAAATAAATATTGTGTTCTTAATTCCTCTTCTTCTTCCCTGTTCAGCGCACAGCCTAAGCTGCCCGTGATGGTGTGGCTGCATGGCGGCGGCTTTTCCTTTGGCTCCGGCAACTCCTTCCTCTACGGGCCCGACTATCTGGTTGCTGAGGACATTGTGCTAGTTACGCTGAACTATAGGCTGGGGCCTTTGGGCTTTCTAACGGCTGGACCCGATGCGCCGGGCAATCAGGGCCTCAAGGATCAGGTGCTGGCCCTGCAGTGGGTGCGCGACAACATAGCCGCCTTTGGCGGTGATCCGCAGCAGGTGACCATCTTTGGGGAGTCGGCGGGCGCCTCCTCGGTGCAGCTGCTACTCCTGTCGCCACTGGCCAAGGGTCTGTTCCATCGGGCCATCTCGCAGAGCGGCTCCGCACTGAACCCTTGGTCCATGGCCGCCAGCTCGGGTCAGAGAGCGGCTCGACTGGCAGCCAACCTGGGCTATGTGGGTGCCAACAATACGGAAGAGATCTTGGACTTCTTGCGCCGAGTGCCCGCCATGAAGCTGGTCGAGGCGGCGCCCACAACGCTCACAGCGGACGATCAGCGCAACAACATTGGCCTGCCCTTCGTGCCCGTCGTGGAGGGCTACTGGAACAAGGACTCGCAGGAGGAGACTTACCTGGAGCAGCCCTTCCTCACCGAGCATCCCAGCGATATGTACGACGCCCACAACTTCAACAGCGAGGTGCCCTACATGACGGGCTACAACACGCACGAGGCGATGCTGTTCATCAGAAGTGAGTCGAGGAGCGGACGAAGCAAATCCTCTTAAATCATATCTATATACATATATCTTTCTTTAGGACTGCGCAAGAATCCGCAGCTATTGAATATTATCGAGAACGACTTTGGCCGGCTCGTGCCGCACGATCTGAATGTGAGCCTTGCCCATGACAGAGTCACACGCGAAATACGCTCCTTCTATCTGGGCAACAAGCACGTTGGCCTCGAGTCTGTGGATGAAATGATAGCAGTAAATGATCTCTTATATATTACATACATTGCGTTTACAATAATTGTGGCATTCCCCTTAGCTGCTGACTGATCTGATGTTCCTGCAAGGCATTCGCCGCACCGCCAGGAACCATGCCAAGTACGGCAATGCGCCAGTCTACTTGTATCGCTTCTCCTTCGACGGCGCCCTGGGCTTGTACAAGCGCATGCTGGGCATACCGCGGCCAGGTGTGTGCCACGGCGACGAGATGGGCTACCTGTTCAAGTTTGGCTTCCTGAATCTGAGTCTAGATCCAAAGTCCATGGAAGTGCAGGTCAAGAACCGCATGGTGCGCATGTGGGCAAACTTTGCCAAATACGGGTAAGTCATCCTGAGCTCTTGATGCAATCGAAGACGCTGACTTCAATGACTTTTGATTTCAGCACGCCCACGCCCAACTTTGAGGATCCCCTGCTGACTGCCAAGTGGGCTCCCATCGATTCCACAAATGTTATGAACAGTCTCAACTATTTGGACATCTCGCACGAGCTGAACATGAAGACGAATCCCGAGCCGGAACGACAGAGATTTTGGGATGAAATGTACCAGCATTACAATGGTGCGGCTATGTAGAGCTCTTGGCCAGGGCCACATATATATTAACGCATCAACCATGCACATTGCTCACCCAGCCACACCAACATACACCCACATACACACACTCACATTTTGTAAAAATTTTGCCATTTTGTGAAAGAGTGAGCAGAACAAAATATTTAATGCAGATTCCATTGTAAAATTATCGTAGATCGTAGTCAGTAGCTCGTAGTTAAATATTTTTTATTAGTGAATAGCTTGTACATAAGTGTCGCAGCATTTATACACAATTATACAAACATAAAATGTCACTTTCCCACTTCAGTGCCCACACACACACACACGCCAATACGTAGCWTAAGCAACTTACTTATAGCATACCCAAAGCCGTACAACATTTCCTTACTTCATATCAGGTGTAAATAGTCAAAGCTAAAAGTTATTCGATATTCAATCAATTATAACCTAAGCACATCACAGTCCATAATTCTGTTTGTCTGAACGCGGAGTCAATCCGAGTTATGTCTTGAAATTTTTGTAAAATAAATCTAATTGTCTTTTAAAATATTTATAATTTGAATTTTGTATTTATATTTGGTGGTTGCTATCGATTCAAAAGCGATATTTGGGTAATTGTAAGAGTAAGAAAATATGCTAGTGAGAAAAAAAAATTGTTATAAAAGCAGACAGATATGGGAAAATTGTTCTCTTTTTCGGGAAGCTCTGAATTCTACTTGAAAATATTTATTTGGCGGTGATAGGTAATATAAGTAGATGATAAATGTATTTAATTAGAGCTACAATTCTTCAGAGAACTGATGCTAAGGCGAATTTTTCAAAGGCTATATGGAAAATTAGAAGCTGCTGTTTTATTTGAATTTTAGCTAAATCTATAGCATACTTTTCGGCTGCACAAAGTACTGCAAGCAACTCCTCTAGAGGGCGCACTCGCAACAGCAATATGCCAAAACATAGTTTTAGGTGAATCAACATAAATATTTATGAAAATATAGCTCATGTGTTCGCTGACATAGTTTTCATTGAAAATATATGTATGTAAATATGTATGTCATTTTCTCAGTTTGAAATTTGTTTTAATATTGGTATTTTGTTAAAAATTAGAAATATTAACTTTTTGTATTGAATATCGTTGATCCAAATAGAAGCACTATGCATTTTATTCTGTTTTTAAAAATACTTAACTTGCATAAGAAGAAGACCGAAAAGAAAAATTAAATAGTCCGCTTCATAATTGACGCAAATCGGCGCTTTTCAATGCATTAAAAACAAATTAACACTTACCTATTCAACGTGTCACGACAACAAAGTGCCCAATGATTGCTTACAAATTTGCACTTGGCGAGTGCACACACACATACACAGATATGAAACGAGGCAGCTGCAACGCATGACCCAGCATCGACGGATTGTGGAGGTGTGGGGCGCACGGCCTCTGCCTCTATCCCTGCCTCTGATTCTGGCTGTGCCTGTGCATAACTTGCGGTTGCTCGCTCACTGTCATGCGGCGTAACTAAGCTGATTATTCAATTATCACAGCTGCTCGGGTGCTCTTCATCAGTGTCGGCGGCTCACAATTTAGAGTGACATAATTTACGTGGCTGCCGTTAGCATTAGCCTGCCGCTAGCCCCAAGCCCCAGCCGAAGTACGGAAGAATATTGAACGTGAGCTGCCGCATAGATACAGACAGGCACTGGATACAGTTTCAGTAGACTGAAATTTGAGATCAGTAACACTAGAATTACATACAATACATGAACAGATTCGTCACATACCTGCCTCGACTAATAACACCAAAAATATTCATTTATTTGCTATCGCACTCACAATGGCACGCTCCACATCCATAGAGAGCATAAATGAGCTGACCTGCATGCCGCCCTTCCGGGTGCTTCCGCGCCCACTCTCCGACATCAGCGCCTGCCCACTGGCTCGCCGCCTGCCGGCCAAGGCGCTGCGTGTCTGCTTCCTGCGCAACATGAATCAACATTTTGGCGGCGTGTGCTTGCCCGTGTCCAAGAAACGCTACCAGGAGTTCCAGGCGCTGCTAGAGGCAGTCACGGTGGCGTTCCGGCCTCACGTCTGCCTCAAGTCGGCCATAACTCGCATTTTTCGCATCAATGGCACCGAGCTGCTGTCCATAGACGACTTCTGCGAGGGCGACGTTGTGGCCTGCTGCTGCCAGTACGAGCCCTTCATGGACGTGGGCTACAATGTCAATCAGCACTACATGCGGATTCTGGGCTCCCTCATCCGAATGCGTGAGAAAATTGAAGAAGACGACGAGGAGGACCCGCCCCTATCAGACGACGATGGCGTCATTGACTACAAGAGCTGCGAGCTGCCACAAGCCATACTCCTATACCTGGATGTGACTAAGCCCATCTGGATAAACAAGTCGACGGTGATATTTGAGGGCACGGGCCGAGCCCGCAAGGATAAGGACTACATCATCAAAATGGTAGACAAGGAGCACATGTGCTCGCGCACCAATGACACCTACTTTGAGATTGAAATCTTGCGCAAGTTGCAGGATCACCCGAATATCATTGACCTGATATACACGGTGGAGCAGTTCAAATACATTTACATTGTCATTGAGCGTCTGGACTGTGACCTCTACGAGCTGCTGCAGAAAAAGCAAGTCTTTCCCGAATCGCTGGTCCAGAAGGCCATGAAAGATGTCAGCAAGGGCCTGGCATACATCCACGCGTGCCAGATCATCCATCGTGACTTGAAGCTCGACAATCTGCTGGTGCAGCTCGACTACTCGGCCCCCATGGAACCCGCTGTGGTGGCGATCAAGATAAGTGACTTCGGACTGGCCACCTACTATACGGGCCGGGAGATCTACCAGTGCTGCGGCACGCCCCACTACATGGCGCCCGAGCTGATCAACTGCACGGGCTACGACTTCTCTGTGGACCTGTGGTCGCTGGGCGTCACGCTCTACTATATGCTCTTCAGTCGGCTGCCTTTCGCGCACTGCGAATGCGATCCCCTCGTTGTGCAGGAGTCCATTCGAAGGAATAACTACCACATACCGCCCGAGCTGAAGATGAAGGTCAGCCTGCCAGCTCAGCAGCTTGTCAAGTCGCTTCTGGTCAAGTTTCCGCAGCATCGACTGTCGGCCATCGAGGTGTGCCATCATCCATTCCTGATGAATAGGCGCAGCGGGTCGCTCTAAGCTCTGAAGCTGTCACAAACATTTTATTCTTTTACTCACTTTAAATTATTAACCGCACGCCTCAAAATAATTGGGAAGCAAATGTAATAAATTTATGATGCGTGACTTTGGTGAGGTGCTCATCGAGCCTTGCACAATCAGCGACGCGTAAATATTCAAATATTAAGTATACGCCTTGGCTTTTGATAAACTGTCCCCAATTGCTCTGCCTGCTGTTATCAGACATCCAGATACACAAATATATCAAATGTGACTACTTTCATGCCCACGGCGAGAAAGTGCATTGCAAATATTACGTATACGCTGACCTTGCGACGTAGCATTGGATAGCAAGGTCACGCCCGCTAAAGTGACGACTTTTTCCACTTCTTTGTTGGATTGCAACATCAAATACAGATAAGTAGCACTTATCGCGCTTATCTTCCGCCTCGTTTTCAATTTAAAAATCATTTCAATTGAACTTTTCTCGTATCCACGTATCAACGCGACGATTTCAGCTGGCTGTCTGCGTATCTGTTTCGGCATTTGTATGTGTGAGAGCATCAATCTGCAGTCTGAGTGGGAACTGCGACTGTGAATGAGTGTATGAGTGTGTGTGTGTGTGTGTGCGTAACTGAGCTCATTTACAGCGCGCCGCCTTTTGTTCACAACTTTTGTTTAGTTTGATATATTTTTCTTGCCGTCGCAGTCGCAATAGCAGTCGCTGTCCACGTTGCTCGAGCCGTCATTTAATCCGTTGGTCGGACTTACGGAGTAGCTTCTGTGGCGTTGTCATCGCTATCCGTGTATAGTTTCTGTGTGCAGCTGCCCGGCCTGCCCTGTCTATCTGTTCATTTCTGGTTCGGCGCGCGTGCAAAAACAAAGCTCAATTTTAGCGGCGTGCGCTGGCCGTGCATAAAAAATAGACTGAATTGCTAAAGATGTGCTAAAGCTTGTTTGCATAACAAAAAAGAGGAAGAAAAGAAAACAAGCAGCAAGAAAATTCGATATGCTAGTTTTAAAGGTGTCAATTGATTAAAGAGGTGCTAAAAAAGCTTGAATCTCCTAAGAGCCAAAAATCACTTAAAGGTGTGTGTGTGTTTGCCCAACAGATATTTGATATATTTTTAACACAAGTGCTATTAAGTGCTTTCAGAATACAAATATATTTATATCCAATTTAAATATTCTGAGCTCGGAAATTATAAACAATTTTATCGTTTATCTAATTAAGCTTTGCAGTTTACATCATCCTAAAGTAAACCAAGTGATATAAAAGTGAAGAACTTTCATGACTGTATATATATTTCGATAATTTATTCGACGAGATATCAGTATATATATATATATATACATATGCAATTGATAACAAACTGGTTGCTCACGTTAACCTGCTCATCTCTTGTTGACGTTCGCAAATCTAGTTATGTGTGAAATATTTGTCGCACCTCGCTGCGGCCTGCTCACCAGATTTCTGTTTGCGCATTTAGCACAACAGAATAGCTGGTAAAATATTGTGACTTACAAGTACTTTAAACTGCCATCAACTGCCTTCCACAGATGCGTTTTAATTTTACAACTCACTCGGCAGCGAATACAACGCCGGCTGCAACAGCAACGACCACGGCGACGGCCAGGTCCAATGAGAAGTCCGCCAAGCCACTCAACCGACCAACGACCATCGAGGAGGACCCCGATTCGCTGGACAGTGTGATCAGCAATCCGCAGTCGTATCCCATAACGATTGTGCCCAATCGTCCGGCCAGCTTTTATGGCCTCTCCTCCGCCAATGGCAAAGCCTTTCAGCGACAGCCCAGCTGCAGGTAAGTCGGCTGAGAGTCGAGCGGTGGAAGGTGGTACGGAGGGGGCGGGGCGCCAGCCATTAGGCCTATGTTTACACTCAGCTCTTGTGAGCTGCCTAAGTGCTGCCGTCAATAGACATTTATTAGTTAGTACTGCTCTAATTTCTATGGCAAACACTGTAAGCCAAACATTGCGGATGCCCTGGTTGGCCTGAGATCAGTGGTGCCAGCCTCCGATTCAGTCAAGTTTTGTGCGCGAACGGGCCAGTATGCAGGTACCGCTGACCGATGTGCAGGTCCTACAGGACGCTGGCGATGCGGAGGCCGTGGACGGCGACAGGGAGGAAGAAACGTTTGCGCATATGAAGGAGTGGAAGCGCCAGTATATCAGGGGCATATCACACACGCCCTCGCAGGCTGGCGTCTACTACGAGGCGCTCAAAGGATCCAGCCACTCGCTGGCCAAGGGGTATTTCCATAAATACACATACATACATAAATATATAAATATGTTGCTTGCATAACGACTGACATTCAACTTGAACTTGCTTGCGCTCAATCAGCAGCTCTCTCTGTGTGTGTGTGTGTGTGTGTGTGTGTGTGTGTGTGTGTGTGACAGATACAAAAGTCTAAAATTACGATTTATTTTACTGATTAGCAGTGCGACGGTTATTTGATTTTAAGTGCTCCGTACGCCGTTTGCTGTTTGTCGTTTGCGGTTGTAATTTATACGGACGCCCACGCAGTCGCAGTCGGCTAGTTGCATTTTTACACAGGCTGCGCGCATTATCTAAACGAGAAGTCGCTCAAATGTTTTCCTATCTGCGCCATAGAAATCGGCTCATTAGCCAGCCCATTCAAATTTTGTCCCACTGTATATAATGCGGCATTATACACCTGTCAAACGTGAAACGCCCCATGACTTGAACAGATTTTCAAAAGAGTTTCAATGGAATCGTTTCTCAGCCGTTAAACGATCCGATTTAAGTTATTGGCCCATCACTATCACATGCACGATTTATCAATCAATTGTGCTCACAAATTTCCCACACGTGAGCGATTATGAAATCATTTCCGCAGACGCCTGCCCCTCCCCTTGGAGGACGGATCTGGCTGGAGTGTGGATTAAGACACTTTTGGCTGCGTTGGCGTCCCCACACGCACACATACACAGTAAAAGTAATTAACAATTAAGCAAATGCGGCATTTCTTCAAAGCAAAGTGAATCATTTGATTGCCGTCGCTCATCTCGCACATTCTTGTTTTCGAGAGCTGTGCCAGAAATTCGATTAGCGGTTATTTATGGAACCAGCTCAGTGTCAATTAATAGCTCAAGCTCCAAGTGCCAATGGGGTTCAGAGCTAAGTTAATTGCCAGTGCGCCTGGGTCATGTGGGAGCTAAGCCCAAATCTTGCATTGACATTTTTTATGCAATTTTATCTCAGCTGCGATTCATGCAGCGACAATTGGAATTAATTAAACATTAATGTGCATATACTCTAGCTACTAGAAGACATCTCGCCTCGGCTGGAACCAGTTTAGTTCGTTACGTCTGACATTGGCAAATTAAGTGCGCTGTTAACTAGATGCACTTCATTTCCATATCCAAAAGCTGGCAAATACTTTGCTGCTCAAGTGTGCGCACTCAATTTAGACAATTAGCCGAGCTGCCGAGCTGCCGAGCTGCTGAGCTGCTGGGGTAACTGGTGCAGGTCTCGCCAGGCAATTCAATTGCAGACTGACTAAATGCCATTGAAATGCAAATGGCCTCGAAATAGATCTAATCCTAAATATAGCTGTCCATTTGTTGCGCAGATAACAAAGTAGAAACAACCAAAAAATTAGAAAAAAAATAAAATAAATGCTGAGACGCATTTACATTTAGCAAAGAACTTAATTCTTTCATATAATTTAGAAGTTAAGGCGAACCAACAAATTTTTGAATCTTCGAGAGAATTTACGAAGCTTACTGTTTAAGAAATTTCCCTAATTATAAATAATTAAACAAACTAGAGCGATGTAGTCGGGTCTTCTTGAATTGAAAATACCCTGATCATGTGAAGAACTTACATAGGTATCAAAATTATAAATTAAAAATGATCAAAGTGAATTAAGTAAGTGACTCAAGCTAGCATTAATATTATTTATTTATTTATTTATTAACTTTTTTTTTAAGGAAGTCTTTAGCATTTATTTGTATTTAAGTATTATTTAACATATACATCTATTAATTACTTAATAATTGCAGTAGTCCTATTTACGGTCAAGTGCAGAATCTGTATTCGTATTTTATTTAATTAGCTTAAAGCCAAACCCATTTATGTAGATAGGATTTTGGAGCGGGTTTGTCCTATTCGCTATTACTTATTTTAGCAAAGCCTTGCCACTAGAACCATCTTAGTGGACATTTAGGGAGCTGTCTCTGCTTGTATGTTCATTTATTTGTTACTGTACTGTTTTCAGATTCAGATTAATTCTCTTTTGAGTGTGGAGGTCAGCTTAATTTCTTCTTCTTTTCTTTTTTATTTATTTTTTGGGAAATTTTTCCTAGTGCAAAGACTGTAACATATTTTTGGGCGGTTATTTAAATTTTCTTTACAAAGCAAATACAACCAGTACGTCCATCTAAACACATCTATCGCTCTGTAGATCTCGCAACTTTCGGCCTGGCAGCATGCGACGCGTGCGCCGACGCGCCGTCTTCAAGAACGGCGACTGCAATGTGGTGCAGAAGCATCTGCAGCGCAGGCGGGTGCGCTTCCTCCAGGACATGTACACCACGATGGTGGACTGGCAATGGCGCTGGACACTGCTGGCCTTCGCAATGAGTTTCATACTGTCTTGGCTGTTCTTTGCACTGATCTGGTGGCTCATTATGTATACGCACGGTGATCTCGAGGAGCTGCACCTGCCGCACAACCAGGGTAAGTCCATGCCACAGCTGAGCCAAGCAGATGAGCTGATGAGTATGCTTTAGAGGAGTCCGGCTGGGCGCCATGTGTCTCGGCCATTGACGGCTTTACCTCCTGCTTCCTGTTCTCGATCGAGACGCAGCACACGATCGGTTACGGCGTGCGCACCACGTCGCCCGAGTGCCCCGAGGCCATATTCATGATGTGCTTCCAGTCCATATATGGCGTGATGTCGTCGGCGTTCATGGCCGGCATTGTCTTCGCCAAGATGACACGCGCCAAGCAGCGTGCCCAGACGCTGCTGTTCTCCAAGCACGCGGTGATCTGCCAGCGCGATGGCTGCCTCTCGCTGATGTTCCGCGTGGGTGACATGCGAAAGTCGCACATTATTGGCGCCGGCGTGCGGGCCCAGCTCATAAGGACACGCACTACCAAGGAGGGCGAGGTGATGACGCAGCACTTCACAGAGCTGCAGATAGGCACGGACGACTCGGGCTCCGACTTGTTCTTCATCTGGCCCATGGTCATCGAGCACCGCATCGACGAGAACTCGCCGCTCTACAACATGAATGCCACCGATATGCTGCAGGACAAGTTCGAAATCGTGGTCATACTGGAGGGCACCGTCGAGTCGACGGGGCAGTCGACGCAGGCGCGATCGAGCTACATCAATACGGAGATCCTGTGGGGCCACCGCTTTGATCCCGTCGTCCTGTACAACAAGGACTTGCAGGCCTACGAAATCGACTATGCGCGCTTCAACGAGACCACCCAGGTGGACACGCCCCTCTGCAGCGCCCGCGAGCTGAACGAGATCTACAAGATACAGGAAGGCTTCCGCACACCAGGTTTGATTTCATAACGATGATTATTCTCACAACTCTCTAATGCTTTCTGTCCATTGTCACTGCAGAGACGACCTTCACCATGCGTCAGTTGTCCAACAATCATTCCGATCAGGCCTCATAAGCATTTGTGCCGTTCAAACTTTGTTTTCCTATTTGTTGCTATCTACATATATACATATATGCATAGTTTATAGTAGTTGTAGTTGTTGCCCCTCGTTTGTCAACCAGCCTGCTCCGTGTTCCCCCGTCCCCAAGTAAGTTGACCCATGGCAGTATCTGGAGATTTTCTAAAATAATCTCTGTCCATCTCACTCCTTAGCCTCTGCTCAGATGCACAGCTCACCCAATCCCTCAACGACCTCCACGCTCTCCAACAGCTCCGGCTACAGTTCCTGGTGCGGCCATCCGCAGCTGCCGCGTCGCCTGCGCTGGCAGCTGTCGCTGCCCTTGCAGAGAGGCTGTTCTATCGACACGTGAAACTTACGATTACTTTTCTTTGATTACTTACTGCTTACAAAAATAAGTTAATAAATGCCTGAGCTTTTAGTGTACACAAATTACACGTTCAGCGATTCATATAAATGACACATAATTGCCATTTAACCACTTCGACGGATTTCACTTGGGAATCGGCAGTCGGCAGTCGGCAATTGCGATTGCGCTATGCGACTCGGCCCAGCCCACTCATCAGGTATCATTAATAATCGCACTGCGAATTATCAATGCAAAGGTGCCAAAAATTTACTCAGCACTTAGCCAAAAGAAACAAGTAAGAAAGCTCTAGTTGGTCGGTGCTCGACTAGGAGGTACCCTGAGCAAAACTATATATCTTTTAACTGTGCAGGGTAAGTAAGTATATAAGCAATTGAAAGTTTAAATTCAAATTTAAATTTATATATTGCAAGATAATAAAAACTAGTAACAACCGACAACCGGACTTGTCAAGTTGAGAGTGATCGAATGCAAATGGATTAAGCTCGCTGGAACTGAAACCATTTAGCTGGTTATGATTAATACCTAAAAATTTGCTAATTGCTTAAATGGAAACAGATTGCTTAGAAAATATGAATAAAATAAAATAAATAAATCAAAGAGTTCTGAGGTCCTCGATAACGAGCAGCGACAACTCTAATATAGAAATAATGTCGGACAAAGGGACATGATGGACGGACGGATGGACATGGCTAAGGACTTGATTCGGCTTTTTTATAGTCACATAATCAGGGTAAATATATATCAAAGCTGCGGCAAGGATTCTACCTAAATTGACTCAGCTTGTAGCCAGTGCAAAATTTATAAATACTTTCTGGCTCCGCCTTCTTCTGCCTGCCTTTTTAACATACCCCGATTTCGAATTTTAATGGGTTCAGCGTATAAAAAAAATGAATAAATGTGGGTAACCACAACGTGTTTGTGTCCGAAGTCTGTTTCATTTGTGGGCGCGCGAATTGATGTGACCTGGAATGGCGCTAACGCAAAACATTCATATCCTTTTAATTGAAATTGAATCAATAACTCTTATTTGCGCAAACTAATCAACACTAAATTATAACACTCACAAACAGCTTGAATATTTATTATCACATTTATCACAGCGCCCAGCGACCAACGACTGGGGCTAATGAAATGTGGGTGTGGGTCAGACATCTGTGTGCAGGCTGTGCGCTGTGCTGCCCCGGCCATGCAATGCCAGATTTCAGCAACTCTATTACAACAATTACAGTGGATATTCGAAAATGAAAACAAAATGCACACTGGCCTGCCATCGGCGAGGGGCGGCAACCGTTGAGTGCTGTGCTGTGCCGTGCTGAGCTGTGTGTCCTTAACCCACATTTGGCAGCGGGCCACGCCAGTCCAGGCTTGACTCAAACAGACTGCAACTGAAACTGAAACTGACTCTGAGACTGACTCTGACTCTGACTGAGTCTGAGCTTTGGGAGTATGTTTAATTACTTGTTAAATGTTTGTCGTGCTTATCAGCTAGCGAGCATATTTAAAAGCGCACAGCGCTGCCCATTAGCCGGCCAGACGTGGCAGAAGCTGTGGCTCAGGTGACATGCGTCGCAGAGGCAATGGTTGTGGCGGGGGCAGGGCACATGTGGCGGTCTATCGAGTGATTGTCCCAGCTAAACGTGCTCGTATCTGCCGGCTGGCTACGTGGCCCAGCGTGCCTGACTCTGACTCTGGCTGAAATTAAAATATTATTGGCGGCTCAAAACGTTGCAGGCAGCGCGCGCTGCATGTGGCACGAGCACTGGCACGTTTCAAAGACAAAAGCGCCACCCAAATGGTTTTGGCCTCTACCTCTGGCTTTGATCGCAACAATTCATATTTCCCCGAAAAACTCCATGCACATATGTGAGTGTGTGTGTGTGTGTGTGTGTGTGTGTGTGGGCATGGTAAATAATTGTTCGTGTCATTTTTAATGTGGCACATACAAATTCGACTATTTGAAGTATTTATGTATATCATGAGTTTTAGATGCAGCAGTCCGTGAGCGACTTTTGGCTTCCCATGGCTCGGCTAAGTGGCCCCAAACACGCCTTAAAGCTGCCAGCTGTCAGCACACTCATAGCCAGAGTTCGGTTCGTTTACTAGCTGGCATTTTATTGTTCCAAGCTCAAAAGCGAGAAAATATGTGGTCCGCTTGATATTTAGCAGCCGTGCATGCGGCAGGCAGCAGCCTAATAAAGACATCAATTGGACGATGACTCAAGCTCAGGCTGAGGCTGCAGCTGAGCCGGCGACTGAGGCGGCGACTGAGACTTACGGGTAAGTGCAGGCGAGTTCCTGTAAAACAAGCTTAAAATTAACTGCGCTCGCAGCGCGAAAATGGCAACGGCAACAAAGGGTAGAACATGCTACATAACTCATCCATAATCAACACTGTTTACATAAATTTCAAAAATTATTACACGGCAACAGAGATGAGAGATGCGAGATGAGGGATGAGAGAGATGGGAGCTGCAGGAGAGACTGCAAGGGCCCCCAGACGATGTCTGCGACTGGGCCGCGGCTCGTGATGAATGCCTAAATAATGCGCTTAACCCTGTGCGAACATAATTTATGGTGTGCAGATATACATGAGTATAGCAATACGAGTATATGACTATATGAGCACATGGGCTTGAATATGCGAGCTCGGGTCCGGCAGTGTCCCATGCAACACACGCTGTTTTCATTGTTATTACACGGACATTGCCGTTGCCGTTGCCGTTGCCGTTGCCGCTGACCGCACGCCCCACTCCAGCTCCCGCTGCTGCCACTTTGCTTAAATTGATTAATTACGGTCATTTTTGCAGCAGCAACAACAGCAGCAGCCGCAGCAGCAGCAGCCACAAACGCTGCATAAGTAGCATAAATGCCATAAGAGATGGCCTGGAAGCCACGTTCAAACTTTAAGTCATTTGCCAGTAAGGACAAAGCCGCCAAAAATGAAATTACTCAAGCGTAGCGAACGGCCCACAGACGGCGCAGACGGACATATAAAGCGCACGCGAGAGACAGAGATACATAGAGAGAGGGTGAGAGCAGAGAGAACGGGAGAGGGAGAGAGACTCGAGTCTCAGCATCAGCTACGGCTTCAAGCGTTGACGATTTTGCCGCTATGTGCAGCAATTGATTTAAGTTACTCCCGAAAACTTACAAAGTGATTGAGTGCGCGAGAGACAGACGACGAGATGGAGAAAGAGACAGATAGCCTGGCCATATCTTTACGACATAGCGCATAACTACATGCATAATGACGTATATAAAAGTGGCAGGAGGCCTTTGGCCCCTGCTGCCTGTTCAGCTGCCCATAATATGCATTTTATGTTGCAATAACAAATTTCACAGTACAAAGTCGGCGCAAAAGGGTTAAGTGCAGGACACTACGCTTAACACACTGGAGCCGTTGTCGTCGTCGTTGTCGTTCCCATTCCCGTTGCCGTCGCTGTTCGCCTTGGGCGTCTTTTGCTTGGCTGCATAATATTGAAATTAATTAGTTTTGATGGAAATTATTAAGTAATTTTTATGCTGGCAGCAAATGAGTGCAGAGTAGACGTCGCTGCTGCTTGTTTTTGTTCGCTTTGTTTTCGCATTGTTCCTTAATTATATTTATTAAATAACATAATAAATTAGCGCTGCACTTGTTGCACTGCCCGCTCCAATTAAGGAAGTGCCACTCGCTGCAAGACTGAACTGAAACGAAACCCCATCAACTGAGTCTGAGAGCCAGGCCAAATTGGCTATCGGGCGACCGGTTATGATGTATTTTTCCTCGTTGATAAGGGGGCCTTAATTTAAAATCTGCATACATTTTTGGGTCCGTTGCATTTTGCAATGGCTGGCGGGCTGGCGGAGTGGCGGGCCGGCGGACCGACTCTGCCTGTCATCCGAAATCCGCCAAAATAAAAATCAAAATCAAAATGACAATCAAGAGCGGCACAGGTCGCCTTTCTGACAGATCTCACGTTGGAGTGGACGTCCGAACTGTCAAAAATAACACTTGAGCGGTGTGGAGAAGCTGCAGGTTATTATTATTATTATATTTTTATATTTTTATTTCATTTTTCCTTTATACTTGCATCTTTTTCATTTTTTTGGTACTACGGATTTGCCTTTTTGGCGGCTTTTGATCTGAAGTGAAGGTAATTTAGCAAACTTCAACTGCCACAAAAGAAATTGCAAAATAATAAACATACACACACACACGCACAGGAACACACTTGAGCCCTTGGCCAAAAGGGGCCAACTATAAGCCTTGACGAGCTTAAGATAAATGCATTCGCAGTTTCACTTTGTCCGACATTGTATGTGGCGAATTATGGCAGATCTTGGCGCGATTTTAGCGCTATCTTAGCGATATCTGCTAATTTATATATGCCGTATAACGACTCACAGCACAACCCAGCATTTACATAGTCCGCTCATAAAGGGCAGCATAAATATTAGCTCTTGGTTTTAGTAGCCGTCATTGATCTAACGCTCTTTGTTTCGCTTATCTTTACGGCTCAATTTGTCTTTGTGTCTATTGCGAATCATTAGCGTGGATTTATGAATCGATAAACTCATAAACCCATCAGCCTTTTCACATGCAAAACAGTTCAGACTACGCTTCCATTGCCTCGTAGGCCGTGAACCTTTCACATTTACACATAACTTTTGGAAAGTTCGATGCTTATGAAAATGAGCTGGAGGTTTTATGGGAACATTTGATATCGCAACTAAAGTTCTTCGCGCGGCCATTAGCGATTTGCAAATGTGCGTTGTTATTTGGTGTACGCGCATCTACTTTATCGGCTTAATGATCCATAATAAAATTATGGCCGCAATCAGAAATCAATAACAGTTTTTTATCCACTCGAGTTGGAGAAAGTAATTATTGGCCAGTCAAGTGGCTACGAGACAGCACCAGCATCTTATCCGATAAGAGACATGCTGGTGGATAACGTAGCGGCTGCGGCTCAGATGAAAGCGGTCGGACAGGGGCAGGGGCAGGGGCAGGGGCAGGGGCAAGGGCTGGCTGGGGCGTGCGTTAGGCTCCGTCCTGTACGCGCCTGTGGCTCGTTTGCGCCCATCGTCACTTGATTGAAGCCAGTGAGTGGCTGAGGCGCAGCCAAATGCAGAAGCAGTCAACAAATCAACGCCAGGGCGAACAAGATGAACGGCATTTAAGGGCAGCGTCAGGGACAGCAATCACTAACTGACCTACAGCAGCAGACGGAGCGGCCAAGTCGGGCCAGCTTTTATTGATGCAAATTGCATGCCTCGGGGCCTGTAATCACCTTCCTGCCGAGCGCTGTGCGTGTAATTTGATCGACAACTGGCCCGACTACGACTTCGGCTCGAACTGCATCTCGATTACATTCCCCTCGTTGGCTGCTCGGCTTGTTCTCTCTCATCTTGGCTGTGTATCTTGACAGATGCTTGATAGGCGACTGGAAACTGGGTCACATTCTGATGGGAAACTCACTTAAGTCGCATGATGGGGCGAATAAGTTAGGGCGCCATCTAGCGGCGCCAAACATTATTCAGATATGTATCGGCTGGCACAGCCCTATTGTTGCTGGTTTCTCAATTCGCGCCGCTTAACAAACGGATTGGCGCAGAGAGGACAACAGCCTTGTGGATGGCTTTGCCAGAGTCTGGCGTGTCCTTGCCGTGTAACAAGCTTTAAATAGCTTCAATTACAGCGGTCCTCAGCTGGACATGCATAGCATTGCGTAATGCCTCACCATTGGCTTCCCTCTATGCAGATACAGATGCAATTAAAGCGGACAGACTGACAGGCGCTGCAGCACTCATCAAGTAGGCGGCTCTCGGCAGCGGCCATAACAACGACAGCACGACAGGAGGTCATGTCACGCAAATATCCATTAACACATCATAAAAATTAAAAATTAAGAAACCTTACGATGCAGCCACCGCACTACAAAGAACAGCTACAATGCCTACAACAACTGGAGGGTCATAAAAAGCCAACCGCAATGGCTGGAAAAAATTCAACAGCAACAAAAATAAAGAGGAAAAAATGCAAAATAAAACGTCAAGAAATGCCACGATAATCAGAGGCAAGCAAAAAGTGAAACCGGTAATTATGTATTATGTATGCACGCCACCAACGCGGCAGATTAAAAAAAGCTACCGCTGCAGCCATAGCCGGAGCCGGAGAGTAGTCGCAGGACAACTCGGCCCGGGACAGTGCATCAAGTTGGGGGTGACTGTGTGGTGTGGTGTGGAGTGGGCAGTGCTTAGTTACGACCCACGCAGCAGCGACCCGGGCCCTGGTAAGTAGGAAATATCTTCTCTCTTTTTGGCAATTTACGTGCTACGATGTGCGACGCGCAAACAAAAGACTTAAGCGACGAACTTGCAATAATATAAATTTCACTTAATTGCAAAAACAAAGGCTGTCTGGCTGCCTTCTGGCTGCCTTCTGGCTGTTGGCTGCCTTTCTGGCTGGTCAGAGATTTAAAAGCTGGCGGACATGCCAACTACGAAATGCATTAAATCGATAAAGGCAGCACAAATAAATGAGTTCAACACGCAAACGAAATTTTAATGCAATCACAGCCAAAAAATATGCAAAGCACATAAAATTAAGCAAAAATCGCAATAACAACCGCAACGGCAACGGCAACGGCAACGGCTCGCAGAACATTTATCTCTTACTCTACTCTCTCGATTCCATTGAAATTGACTTGCAGGTTGCGGCCAAGTTAGCCACGGACGGCTCTTCGGGCCGCTTTCCGTATCGTCAGCTGGAAATTTGTCTCCACGGCACTGCACAGTAGCTTATTTCCAGTTGCTGTTGTTGCTATTGCTGTTGTTGTTGTTGCTGTTCTTGTTATTATCGGGGTAATACAAAAAGTTTTGTATACGAGTGCCACGCTGTCAAGCTTAATTTCTGGCGGGGCTATGCAGGCAGGCAATGACAGTGAATATGGCTCGTAATTTTTCGACGCTGTAAGTGTTAAAGTCAACAATCGTGAGAAAAGAATTTTATTGTTTTTGTTTTTTCCCCCAGTATATATGTGTGTGTGTGTATGTGTGGCTGCACTTTTTGTGGCCACTGAAGGTCACTTCGCCTTGATCGCTGGCTCTACGTTTGTTTGTCTGAGTGGCTCCGATTTTATGTGCGCCTTTAAAATTTCAGTTTCTGTTTATTCTTTTTTTTATTTTGTTCAATTTTGTTTACGTCTCTTTTTGACTCTTTTGGCTTTTTGGTTTTCTCGATTTCTGCCTTTGCCCATTGCCTCACATGATGCCTGGCAGCGGCCGCTGTCAGCCTTTGTCTTGCCTTTATTATACATATATAGCACATATATACACTTTRTATACATATATATACTATATATTTTGTTTTATTTTTCGGCTCGGCTGTGGCTCATGTTAAATTGTCCGTTTCATGTTTCTGTTTAAATGTCAGTTGTAATTTGTTGTATTAACCCATACCACATGAATTATGTTTAGTTCGAATGTAATTGATTTGAATGCAATTTGAATGAATCGGGCAACTGCAACAATAACAGCAACAACGGCAACAGCAACAATGGCAACAGCAACGGGTGCAGTTGCTTCGTCGCTGGAGTCGGAAAAGCCAAGATTGAAAATTGCAATCAACTTTGACCAAGATTTAATAAAATTATTCAATTTTTCCCAGACAACGAACGCTTATGGTTCTTGGGCCAACTTCACGTTATGTGAGCAGTGGGATAATGGCCTGTCTGCCAGGGGCTACTTAGCTGCGCTAAGAGGGTGCCATGGTAGTCAAGATCAATCAAAGTTCATCATCATAAGCCACAGCGTTTAGCACACACAGCAAACATTTGTCGCGGGCCTTGAAATAGTGGTAAAAGTCAAGATTATCGCACTTGATGCCATGGCTTTTCAATCAATTATTATTCGATAGTTGAAAGTCAAATTTCATCAAGTAGGCAGTGGCTGATCTATCGCTTTTTGTTATTTTATCGGAAATCCTGAGGCAAAAATTCGAGCGCTTCGTGTGCTATATTTGAGCTATCGACGGTGTCCTTTAAAGCGAACTCAGATTTGTAAGCAAGTGTCGTTGAATAAGTGTTTGTGCATTTCCTTGTTGGTCCGTTACCATGAAGACTAACCCCTACCCATGCATATTTTGTTTAGATGAGCAACAGCGGCCTTGTCGCTTGCCGTGCAGCCATTCGTTTTGCACGGATTGTTTAGAGCGCTATTTGCAGGTGAGAGGCGATCCTCGGTGCCCGCTGTGCCGTCGCGTGTTTCAGGTGAGCGCTCGAGGAGCAGCTGAAGCATCCAATGACAGCACCACAGACCCAGATACGCATGTTGTCCCAGCAGCCATGCCAGCCATGTCAGCCACGCCAGAACTAGCCCTTCCCGATGCCGATGCCGATGCTGCTGCCAGTTCCAATGGCTATGCAGATCTGCGAAGCCCCGACTATATGCACCTCCTCGACATCGACATCGATATGCTGAACGACACTTTGGTGCTGACGCTCACGGAGCAGGAGATTCGTCTATTCGCCAACCTGTACGACGAGGTGCTGCGCGAGGATCAACGCCAAAGTGCGCCGCCAGAGTCAGCGGATGCCTGGAGTATGCGGGGCATGCTGGGGATCTAATGTAATTGTTGTAGGGCCACAGCAATGTGGCTTGTTTCTTTCTTCATACTCTGTCAATTTTATTTCTATGTGCCTGTTTCTTGTATTTTTCCGTGTTTGTTTGTTTGCCATTTACATACTCCAAATACCTGCATATAGCGCGGCAATAAAATATGGTAAGATAATCAATTAATTAGTAAAAAGTTGGAAATATGCCCCAGCTCATTTGACAAACTAGCCTGAACCAAAGATGAGATTGCTTTTTAATTGATAATTACATCTCTTACAAGATAAAGCCAATCTGATGTCTGAGCCGCTGCTCTAAGCCATAAATCGTGTAAATCAATTGCCGCAGAATATAATCTTCAAGTTGAGGCAATTAGAGCTACATATTGCAGTCATTGTATGCTCAGATAGGAACGTGTCTTTCGATCATTTGCATCTGCAACGTCTGCAGCCAAATTGTTGGCCAATAACACGCCATCGATCAGAGACGTCGCATGTGCTGCGGCTGCTAACTGCTGGGGCAGCTTAATTAGACGCTTAGCCTGGCTAATTGCAGCGATCTGGCCAGGCTGCTCTAGATAATTGATAAGCCTCGGCTGCAGATGAACAGCTAATGATGGCAATTAACAACAGCAACAACAGCAGCAGCCGCAGCAGTCGAAATGGTGCAAAATTGTTTATTAAATGCTCATGGCTGACCATTGGACAACGGGCAGCTCGGGCCTAGCCCAGCTTCGGGTCTCTGGGCCAGCTGGGGTGTTCATTTGTTTGTTTGCGGCTCTGCACGGCAACGTTGCCAGTCTTTATCGCCACGAATCATTTTTGGCTTTGCCATTTTGACAGCGTTTTGAGTCAACAACATGGCCCGCTCGTTGCCGCATGCAAAAGATACAAATCTAAGCTGCACATTATGCAATTGGCAATGCAATCGTGCGACTGCCCCACCGCAGCCGCAGCCCAGCCGCAGTCAAAGCGAAACTATCTCATGGATTTGCGCAATTTGTCATCCATCCTGCGCAGGCGGCAGCTGTCCCCAGTGCCCCGATCCCCCTGTCATCCATCCACCATCCTTTGCAACCAAGTGCGTGCGAGGGCGTGGCCGTTGAACAGTTTTATTGATAACGCTTGCCATCGTGCTTTGATATTGCGTTCAGTTAGCCAATTATTAATGCCCGTTGTCGGCGAGCCGCGTGTAATTTGTGGCAGTTGCTGCTGCCGCTGAAACGCGATATGCCCAAATTACTTTTGAGCATTCGCTCGCTGCATTTTGCATTTGCAACTGCATTTATGAATGTCGCTGGCGATGGCATCGTCAACATCTGATCTAACATGCAGGCAAACATTTTTATCGCCGATTAGGCCCAGCCGATAACCCCAGTCGATGGCGATGCTAGGCGCTGGCACAGGTAGCTCTGCTGGTAAGCTGGCTCAGCCTTTGCTTGAGCCCGATATGGAATGGATATGGTAAGTATATAGCTGCCTATATAGGCATGTTCAGTTCCCATCGCTCGAGGTGGAGCGCTGCTTTCAACATTTAGTGGCAGGCTTGTTGCTGGTATCGCAAGTCATTTGTCAAATTGCTAAACTGACATTAAAGCCGCTTTGGTGGGTCGATAAACGCGCCGCAAATTTGACATTTCGCTGGCGATGATCGATGCATATCCAGGCAGTGCAACCTGGTGACATTTTTGCGCCAATTTCGGTCGCTGGGGCATCAGTTAAGCAACAGCAACAGCAACAGTCGCRGCAACAGCAACAACTGGCGAGCTCTGTGCGCATTTTTCGCTTTCAGTTTGCATGCGTGGGAGTTGCACGAATTGTGTCGTTAAATAATGCGCCATGTCGGCAAATCCTGCACGAGGAAGAGGCCCAAGACGGCGCAGAGCGAGGGCGAAGTTAAAACTGGTTGGCAGCTTAGAGCGGAAGCGACGATGCTGCCTGCCGTTGTAGTTGTAGTTGCTGTTGTTGCTGATGCTGTGGCTGATGCCGCAAAAGGCAACGGGCAACGGGCAACTGGCAACAGCCAACTGGAGCAGCGTTTTGGGTGGCCGTCATGCCGGCCTTGCATTTGATATTGCAGCAGCCGCTTTGTTTAATTGATAGACGACCCACGCCGGCGACAAAGCTGCGCCAGCCATGCGGCACGCGATTTAACTGTTGCTCTTTGTTGTTGTTGCTGTTGCTGTTGCTGTTGCCGTGGCTGTTGCTGTTGCAGTGGCTGAATTCGCCTTTGCCAAAGCCGCCAGTGGCACAAAACCCATCGAACTCAAACTGTGCGCGCACGCGCATGCAACAAACGGCGACGGCGTTGACAGATTGATGCCCCCAACAGCCGCACGGGCATCGACTAGTGCTGCGGCCGAGGCCCCCGCTTCATTATTCAAATTGCTCGTGTGTTTCTGCGGAATTTATCAAAGTCGCTCCGCAGAGACGCTGCCAGCTGAGCTGGAGCACCCACCGGGTGCCGGGCTGGGTGTGCGGTATGTGTGCCATTTGGATTGAATTCGTGTCGCGTGGGAGTCAACTGCTGTTGCTTTTTTTTTTTTTTTTTCGTTTTTCTGTACAAACAAAACTATCTGCAGGTCAGTTAAGATAAGTAGTCGCATGTCCAACAACTTTCCTTTTGGCTAAGGGCAGCCTCTGCACTCGAACTCCAACAGCAACAACTGCAGCAACAACAGCAACAACAGCAACAGCGGCAACTGCATTTTGGGCGCGGCCAAAATTCTCATAAATCTGTGGCCCCAAAATGTAAGCCGAAATATGCCCGCACATAAGTACACACATGTATAGTATATGTAGATGTATATGTGCACAGTTGTACATTGCTAGCTGAGTAATTAAAGCAGTTTAACATGTATTTCGATGGAAGTTGGCCAGTTTTTGAAGCTGTCACAACATCAACAAGCCTTCATTCATGCGCTGCGACAGGCAGCCAAGCAGCCAGCCAGCCAGCCAGCCAGGCAGTCCAGCTAGCCAGTTAGCAAAGTCAGTCAGTCAGTCAGTCATTCAAAAGCCAGCCGAAATGTTGCCATAAATCAACTCATTTGAAATGCATCAACTGCAGCAATCAGAAACAGAAACAAACTTAAAAAAAATAAATAAAATAAAATAAAAATCTGCAAAAAAAAAAAATAAACCCAAAAATCGAAGTCAGTTACACAAATATTTTTACACGTCGCTGACGACGATTGCGATTTCCAATTCCAATTGAAAGAGTGACAATGCGCGGGCGGGGCACAACACAGCCAAACATATTCCGACACACACACACACACATACATACATACACTATGCCACCACTGTCCAGTTGTCCGAGCTGGCGTGTTGCACAATGTGTGAAAACAGGATCAAAGTCCTGCCTAAACATTTGTCAACGTTTTCAGCGTTTATGTAATCTGCATTTTTGTGCTCTTTTTATTCACTTTGCTGGCTTTGCGGGCTTGTCATGAATATGCGCCAATTAAGCATTTTGTCTGTGTGTGAGTAACATGCATCAATCAAATGCTCGCAGGATAAACATTGCCCCAGTCTGTTGGTCACTCTGTCAAATGGACCCAACAACATGCAATGCACTGTGCAGTGGGTGACTTGTAAAATTGTTCAATATCGTCGAATTTGAGACGAACAAGTGAGAGTGATGGAGTGAGTGAAGGCTGACCGACGAAGAGACACCCTGCACACAATTATACTAAGCTCAATCTATGTCTGAAATCTCCAGTAAAAAATTAATAAAATAGATACATTTATAAATGATCGGTATTTAAAGTCAAGTGAAACAAAAATAATATTCCTATACGGTGTAGGCTTTTCAGGTCTATAGACATACCTAGTAAAAGACGAATATCTGACACACCTTCTGGTTTTGATCGAGAATAAACATGTATTTAATGATTCCTCCTTATGCTTTTTCTTCCTGTTGCAGAAGCCATTAAGCCTTGTATTCACATCCCAATGTAGACAATGTTTTGTAGACAAAGTCATTCACATTTCTGCCTAAATACAAAATGATTCGAATATGAAGCTTTAGTAGCTCACTTCTCAGCTGTTGTTGTCTTAACCTCTTATAACAAAACGAAAACAACAAACACTATATGTTCCCATTCAGGCCTAACCAGTCTTGACTCTAACAAATGCTGCCCCTTGCTCATTTAACAGTCGATTGAGCAGCCCTCGCTTAAATGCAAATGCATGCACACACTGAGTGGACAGCCACCGTCTGTCTGTCTGGCTACTCAAATCTCATGTTGAGCGACAGCCTCGGGGTTCTGAGAAGCCGTCGATGAGTTTGGGGCGTGGCATGGTTATTATTAGCATCGCATGGCGATTTCTTAATTGATTTCGTTGCTGGCCATGTTAATTGAACGCTGAGAGTCGGCACGGATGTAACATGTCGATAGTCATCTCAGCCAAGTCAAACTCAAAAACCTCAGACTGACTGAGATCAGTCCACCCCACTCCTATCCAGTCCACTCCTATCCAGTCCAGTCCAGTCCAGTCCAGTCAGTTGTCAGTCAGTCAGCAGTAGATTTGTTAGTCAAACGGGCCAACTAGCTGGACATTCGGCTGCTGCAATAGCCTATGTGGGCCGCCAATGTGTCCAGCTGTTGTTGTTTTTGTTATCGTTGAAGGCATTGTAGGTTTCACTTATCAAGCAACAATAACAGCAAACAATTAAATGCATTTGCACGAGTTATAAATATGAATGTCAGGATGCCAAGATGCAGAGATGCTGAGATTCGTGTGCATTTTGACCCACATGGAGTGGCGGCAACTGCCAGCAATTTGCCACCTAAAAGGAAAATTATGAGCACCAGCATCAGCAGCTCAAAACAAACGATCGGCAATAAAGGCGAACAGGAAAACGCGTCACGTCACTTCTGCACAAATGGCAACTGAACTGAGTCGAGTCGAGTGGAGTCGACTCGAATCGAGTGCTGTGTGGCGCACTCAAGTGTGTTGGGTGGGTGGAAGTGAGGAGGCCGCTGCTTCCCACAATTTCAGCCATGCGGCGCACAAAGTCAACAGCATTTTCGTTATAATTTCTATTATTTTCCCTTTTGGCATAATTGCAGACAATTTACTTAACGATCAATAGCGGCAGGCAGACGGCAAACGGCGAACAGTCGACGAAAAATTTATTAGCTCCCGC